GCCGCGGAGCTGCTGCAGCTGGGCCACGGCCTCTGGAGCCCCGCGGCCGGCCGGGCCGCCCCCCGCCAGCCGACACGAGCAGCATCGCCGCAACCGCACCGCGGCCGCCGCCGCCTCTCGCTGGCCGACGACGCGCGGCCTTTCTGCGTGGCCGGCACCGGCGGGCGAATGTTCAGTGTTTTTCGGCCCCAGGGCGGGAGGGGGAGGAGGGAGGAGGAGGGAGAAGAAAAAGGAGGAGGGGAAAAAGGAAAAGGAGGAAAAGGAGGAGGAGGAGGAGGACCAGGAGGACCAGGCGGAGGAGGAGGAGGAGGAGTAAATATGCTCCTCTCCGCCTCATCGTACACTTGCCTCTCCTGCTGCCTGCCTTGCCATATCTTGACATTGGTATTACTGTATACCGCAGCTATAACTTAGTTGCTCGAGTGAGAAAAGGAGCGCGCCGCTGCGCGCCCGCGTCCGGGCGTCGGCCGGCCGGCCTCCTCCCTTCCTATACTTGAGCACAGTTGCTTCACGGACAACATATTATTTTCATTGATGTCTCATTCCGTATCCTCTACCATTGAGCATTGTAAACATGAAACCTTAATTCCTTTTGGCATCTTACCTCGATTCTCAGAGGAAAGACTGGTTATCAGCCGAAACCCGCGACCAAGTCGCAATTGGAATGAGCTATGTTGAGACAGCCGAAATGCCCGCGATATTACACGATGTACATCGAGACGGGCAAGAACATCAAGACAGCGGCCCAGGGGAGGGCCGCTCTGCTCCTTCTTCAAATCCAATTCGGGTTTCTCGTGGAAGGGGTGCGGGAGAAACCATAAATTTGTCTGCAGAGGATTCTCCCACACGTATTACGATCAGAGATCGTGAACAGACCCCAGACCCGATAAGGCGGAACGGCCCAGCCGGTAATGCCAGGCGAAGAGCCTTTTCATCTTGGATTGCTGAGTCCTCAGAAACAATACATTCCAGCCCGATTGCCATGCGTTCTATCGAGCCGGCCGCTGGCCCAGCCAGTAGGTCGCGAGACGTAAAGGACTCCGGCGGTGCGCTCCCCGCCGTCCCACACGGTTGGGGTCGCCCGCACGGGACTCACCCCATCCCGATAGCCTTGAACGGGCAAACCGGTCAAGACAGCGACGAACAGCTTGATGACGAAGACGATGTCAACTCTATGGAGGCTGACGTGGAGTATGCTAAGCATCAAGGGTCACCAAGCCGAGTCCTGCCGCTGATGAGCGCTGCTGACCACCCCGTCCCAGACGGAAGGTCGTTCCCGGGGCAGGATACCATCGGCTATGATCACCTGGAAGATCTTGGGAAGGCACTTGCGGAACAAAATCTAGACACCGCGATCAGTGACCTAGACCGCGAGGCCCCAGCAGTACATGAGCCGTGGGGAACACCTCTCCCGCCCCAGGCGGCAAAGGTCGAAATGAGTTCCCAAATTCATGTTAAGCATGACAGGGGGACCACGGGTCGAACGCCAGCTCCTCAACATAAGAAGCACAAGAACGAGGATTCTGATTTGTTTGCTTCCCCGCTTCAGGAGGGGTTATACCGGGCCGCCGTCGCCCCATGCGATTGGCAGCCGTCAGCGCCCGCGGTAGTTGAGGATGATGATATGTTTGACCCCCCAGCCTCACTCCCAGAGTTGGTTGAACAGGATGAGTGGGATGAGGCCCTTCGAGAGGTGGCCAAGCCACCGGAGAGCGCGCACGTTCGCCCTTGATCGTCTGCTTCGAGCAGGGGAAGGCCCAAGATCCAACGATCTGGTGCCCGATCGACTTCGAGGAGCAACAGTGCTATTTCCATGCGCGATGCGCGTAGGAATCGAGGCCCCAATTGCCCGCCCCGGGCGGAAAATAGGTGCCTGGGGAAAGCTCGCAAACAGGGGGGGCCTTGTAAGCGCCCAGTGCGTGGGCACTGTTCTGATGTGTGTCCCAACTGCGGCAATCAATGGTTGTGTGAGGATTGCTTTCAGATGGATGAGCATAACTGCCAATGCCTTTTCATCCAAGCCATGCAGGACCAGGCCAGAATCACGGAAGCTAAGAGACAGCAAGAAACCATGGCCCTAGAAGCTCACAGGGCCGAACAGGCTCGGCTGGGTCGAGAAGAAATGAATGCAGCTATTGCCGATGTTCGGAAGAGGTTCGAGGCTGACAGAATCGCCCTGGCCCGAGCTGCCAGTCGGCGGGAACGAGAGTTGATGGAACAACTGTCCTATCAGACCGCGGCTGCCCAGCAGCGCGCGGAACAGGACTGTTGAGGCGATATCTTCTGAACGACAGGCTGCCCTGGCGGCAAACAGTCAATCTGTAGATGCCAAGTCCGCCTGCGCCGCTGTTGCGGTGGCGAGAATAGCAGGGGGGAGGGCCGCGATAGCCAGGGCAGAACATGATAAACAAGAGTTCCAAGACCAACTTTGCGCTGCCAGGCTAGAAGTGGCCAGTGCACAGAGAGCAGCTGCGACGGTAGTTGATCAGAATAATCAGTATCGGGAAGAGCTCAAGTCGCATGAAAACGCTAGAGCATCGCTTCGGCGGATGCAATTAGGTGACGGAGTGAGCCTACCGGCCAAGCCGGCAGGGGCGAGCAGACGACCATCACCGGCGCCCCAGTCGTCGCAGGCCCAGCCTGGCTCGGCGCCCCCACATGGCGGGACGCCGCCAATGTTGCGGGTCAAAGCTGCCCAGCAGCCGCGGCCCGCGAGAGGGAGCACCGACGACACTTGTTCAATATGCTCGAATCCGAAGGTCGGAACATGTGCCACTTGCGGATCGCCAAGTTGTAAAAACCACCTTGACACGAGCACGAGACGCTGCGTCGCTTGTATTCAACGAAGGAGCCTGCCCTTGGAACAGGCGGAGTGGGGCGAGCAATGGTAGCGACATAGGGGTGACCCCAACTTTCGGGCCCAACAGCAGAAGCTCCTTGATGAATTTTACGATGACAAGTGCGATGCAACGGATGAAGGAGCAAGCTGAGGAACAGCTTCGATTGAGCTCAGAACGGTCGGCTGCCAACCTTCGTCAGAAAGATGAAGCGCCGGCGCGCGCAGCTGCATCAGAGGAAGGCTGCCATCGCTGAGTCCTCGAAAGAGAAAGAACAACATGCGCGGTCTCAATTGTGCAAGCTGCTGACCGCGAGGCGGCCTTGATCGAAGGGGCCAAAGAGATGGCGAGAACTATGGGCATGGAATCCTTCCAAATCATCGAGAAAGAATTGGGCAAGCTGCCCGGATTCCATCTGTTCGATATGCCCCAGCTTTCACAGGAGACGCCCGTGAGGCCAGCCCTGCGACCCCATTCTATTACCCCAGGCCCTGCCACCGAAGGTCCGGCCAAGCCTGGCATCTCCAGGAACAGTGCACCCATCAATGCGGAGTTGCCAGGCATTGCTGATGACATGACCTTTATTAATTATCATCCTTTCACCAAGGCGGGGCCAGCGAGGCCACCGACGGCCCAGCCGCCTGGTGGAAGGAAGGGCCATGCGCCAGCGGGTGCGCCGCCTGGCGGGGCAGGGCAGAACAATGATGGGGATGGCCATAGTACCGCGCCAAGTACCGAGATCTTGTCAGCACTCGCCCATGCCATCCGAGATCAGTCAGAGAAACCGCCTCCAGGGGGCCCGGGGGATTCTGAATCCCCAGGCGGCGGAGGCGGCCGTGGCGGGCCTCCAGGCCCAGGTGGGCCCAATGGCCCGGGGGGTCGACGAGAGTGCCCCTGCGGATCAGTGGAGACAGGTTGGGAACAATCAGAAGGTCGATCTGATGGACATTCCCGATGTCACAAAAAAATACGGGAGTGGCAGACGCATGCAGTCCGTGCTGCGGCTGGATCGTTTCCTGAGATTCGGGAAGCACAGCTCTGGATCATGGAAGCCATGGGCCCCTCTGTGATTCAAGAACAGGTCAGAAATCCGGGTCGCTTCCAACGCCTAGACATCGTGATCGCCACTGACCGGATTGAGAAGTTCAGCAAAATGCGTAGGAATCGCAACCTTTCCACTCATCACATGCATTTCCTTCAACACATCAATCGCGTGGAATTCGGCGCCCAGAATGAGAAGAGGCTGTTAACAGGGCGCGGAATTATACGGGCCATTTGCTCTTGGTGTTCAGTCAGATCGGAGTTGGGCCAACATCGCATTTCGCGCGACATCTTCAAGGTAGCTATTGATCCCAATTGCCCAGATGCTGATTTGTACCATTTCTATAATGCATGGGCAGATGCGCATCAGCAACTCTACGGCGCACGACCTCCGTCTGATGAGATGCGAGTTCGATCCGCGCACACTTTATTGAGCAGTGCAGGGGGCCGAAGAAGTTTGATCTGTTCTGTCAACTCTATGATTTGTCCACGGACAAGCCAGGAGAAGGCATGATAACCTATGAGGGGGTCATAACCCAGATTGAACGGATGATGTTGCGTGAGAAGGACGAGTGGAACATCAATCTACATGCGGGTACTTTGAATCAACGTGCTCGCAAGACGCGCTTGGGCGGCGGTGGAGGCAACGGCAGCGATGACCGCCGAGGCCTGAACGGCAAAGCCGTTGCGGCAGAAGTGGCAGCGCGTCTCGGGAAGTCCACAGGTGTTATGAAGAATGGAGCGACGAAGGGCGAGACGACGTGCAGCTATGTGCGCAAGGGAGAGACCTGCCCGTATGCGGGTCAGGATTGCCCGTTGAATCATAAGAAGCCCACAGCTGCCGCTGCGGCCCGGCCGGCTGCGGGAGCTAATTCGAATGCTGCTCCGGCTCCGGATGCGCGTTCCAGAGGATGGTCTGAGAAACCTAAAGGCGGGGGCCGAAAGGCACGTGCCGATCTCAGACTCCAGCAGGTGGCCGTGGAAAAGGTGCACAGCAACGGACGAGAAGCCAATCCGATCGTTCGCGCGAGAGACACGTGGACCCCCGGACGGTTGCTACAGACAACACAGAGCCTTGACCGACGCAGAAAAGCTCAAGCGTGACAAGTATGAACAAGCCAGGCTTAATGCGGGCAAGACTCTGGGATATGAGCGCA